TTGCTTCTTTTTAAAATCCTTTTAATTTGAATGTTTTTTAAATTTCAAATGTCATTTGAATGTCATTGTAATGACTTTCTTTAAAATGCCTCATCAGTATGTATGAATGGACGAGTTGATGAAAATGTCAACATATTCATTTTTAAAGACTTTCACAAAGCAGAAACTGCAGTCTCGAGCAACAGAAGTTATCATTTTTGTTACAGGTACAAGTCAAGTGGGAAATACTTTTATCTGCTTTTAAATATTTGTGATCTTCTGTCTCTTGAAATCCATTGATAAATGCTGAATTGTGAGCAGACTTTGTTACTCGTTATAGAAACCTAGACATCTGTCTACAGATACAAAATAAATGGGTTAAAATTAAATAATTACTTTTTTATTTTACATACGGGTAGTATTAGTATTCTCATAGATCTTTACTGTTCTATACTGTATCATTGTTAGCATTGTCATAGATCTTTACTGTTCCAAACAGTTGTATTATTAGCATTCTCATAAATCTTTACTGTTCCAAGCAGTAGTAGTATTAGCATTGTCATAGATATTTACTGTTCCAAACTGGCATTTCATGATTTAAATGTTCTATGTTTAGTATCATAATGTAAAGCTCAAAAGATTGATTTATTGAAGCTAAATAGTGAAGGTCAACTACAACTTGTGACAGTATTAGTCACTATTCATTTTACTATATTTTTAATAGGTTACAAGTAGCAGTTTTGCAGACAGTAGCCATTAGCACATATCAGCTGATTTCACGCACTTGGTCACAATTCCACAACCTCCCATAAAAAATGATGTGTAATTATTTAAAACAATGGGTGAAGTTTCGTTTCTAACCTAGATTATTTTTTAATTTGTTTTTAATTCAATTCCAAATACTATTTTTCATGTTCTACTTTTTTAAGTAACTAGCTACTGCGGTGACTCTGATGTACATAACTAGCTACTGCTATGACTCTGGTGTACGTAACTAGCTACTGCTATGACTCTGATGTATGTAACTAGCTACTGCTATGACTCTGATGTATGTAACTAGCTACTGCTATGACTTTGATGTACATTTTGTTGTTGTATTTATTATTGATATTTGCATTAAGATAACCAAGAGAAGTTGTAAACATTTTCTTTGTTGTTTTTTTTCAAATTTGGAAATAAAATGAACTTTGTTCAACCTTTAAAAGAAAATAATTCCAATGTGAATCAGTCCAGTACTTTTTATATTTCACTTCTAAATAAGCAACATACTGACTTGAATATAACCAATCCCCATTAAATGGATCCCAGTACCATGAGTGTTTTTGTTTAGTATCAGTGACATGACTAGAGCAGATGTAGTTGTCAAGTTTATTGATCCATATTCAAGAAACACTAGTATAACCCTTACAGTGATCCATTTCTTAGAAACACTGGTGTACAGTGACCTTGTATTCAGGGGGAGGGGAATTACACCTTGTACATCTCATTGAAACTGACCTCTGACCCTTGTCTAAATATACATTGTATCATATATTTTAAAAATTTCAAAGCTAAAAAATAATAAGTAAATTATGTTTGAAAATGTTTATTGTATATGTATGTTCTGTATAGTACAATGACATGATAGTTTTGACAATAAAAATTAGGATGGTGAGGGACATACTCCACTGGCCCATTGACCAAACATAGTAAAAGTAGGTCAGATGCCCACAACTGAAACCAAACATTGTAAAAGTAGGTCAGATGCCCACAACTGAAATCAAACCACTTTGTAAACATTCAGAAATAAATCTTATCTCAACTAAGAGGAAAAAAGGGTTGCCCCTAGGATAATTTTTTTTGTACATTAACAATGTTAAAGATTTTGCGCCGCTGTGTTGAAACAGCCAAGTATCGAAGGACGAGGACGTCAGAAGGATGCCATATCTTAAATTTACAAATATTGTAGAGCGATACAGAAAATAACAGTAGTAAAAACAGAAGGTTATACCGTAATTATATGTAGCATGGCAATAATCAAAGGTATATACACAGGATAACAGCTTTACACACAAACACACACTATCACTCAGTGGCTATATGTGCCATAAGTAGAGATTTCCATTCCCTGGCCATTCTGTTCCAGATCACTCGGTTATTGTTCCAAGTGATATATTCCGGCGTTTTCATGGTATACAAGTCGTATCATGTACAGTAAAAGAAGTCAACCAATGGAAATTAAAATATGATTTACAAAAAAAACACTTTAATTAGAGACTAATCTGAAATTCATTCGCTCACTGCCAGGCCGACACACTAAAGATATAACTCATGAGCACATGTGATAATTAAACACCACTGTATGCCTTCTATAATAAATTTAGTTAAAAAATAAGTTGTCAACACAAAAAGTATATTTTGAATACATGTGTTATGTACACTTATATATGGCAAATTTATTTACCAATTGAACAAAAACAGTAATCTTGTTCTGATGGCAAAATACAATGTGCTTTAAAAAACATATTAAGACTATCAAACCATCTCAAGGCAGTCAAACCATCTCAAGACAGTACACTCATTTCTAAAACATCTTTCAATATATCTGACTTTGTTAAACAGTACAATTTACACTGTAATATCAGATACAGAAATACTTGTATGAATTTTCTTGTACATGAGTGACAAAAAATGCACTAAATGTTCTAAACCATGTTTATTAAGTTGGATTGGATCAAGTTAGATTCTGAGGAGGTCTATAAGTAAGCACACATATACCTCAAACAGAAAGAATTCCTTTAACTTGGCTTCTAGGTTGTACATTTTACAAGTAAACCACCCCTTGACGCAAACAATATGTAAACTGTGTTCATAAAACCACAACCTCACAAAATAACAGGGCACCCACGATGTCAGGTCTTGCCGTGAAGTGCGATCATTTAGGGATGGACTTCATCGTTCTCCTCTTTAAAGTAATTCTTTACTGCCTTAGTGTACAAACGACATGAACCCAAGCAGGATCTTAAAATACAGACCAAGGTCCGGTCGCCCGATGTCATGGGTTAAAAAAGAGTTTCAGATCATTGCCATCAACTACATTTGACAAGGGAGATAAGTACCAACATTTCTTCTTGGCTAAATTAACATCAAATGTGTACAAAATGTACATTAATTTTTTTAAATTATAAAATTTGTAAATGAAAATTAATAAATGCAGTAAGAACATTAGTGCATCCCTGGTTGTCCAAGGAGCCCAAACATGTAACAATTCCACTTTGGTTCTAATGTTTGAGTCACTTTGAACAAATCCGCCCCATTTTACCTATTGTGATAAAATTTGCCCAAAACTCTTCACACGTATATACATAGAAAGAGTCAAATAATCAAGCACACAACCAGATTTCATTTTATGTGGATCTTAAAATGCACTACCAACAGGATCAAAATCTTAGTAATCAATCAATAAATAGTTTTTTTTATTCAGTTCTCTACACTGGTGAGGGATTTCCCCATCTTCTTGTAGCTGAACAATTAAAGAATTATTATTCTTCAGCTTTAAGGAAATAAAAACAAACTGTCTGTTCATCTGAGGTCGGTAATCTAGAGAAATCAAAGCAACAACAAAGGGAAACATTTTATCAGCACTTATGTTTTCATTAACTGATAATACTCATTTGTTTTCATCATATTTTGAAGGGGACAATTGTTTTAACTGAGACAAGAAGCTTTTTAAAAAGAAAATTTTTACAATTGTTTTTAAGATATCGTCAATAATCATGATAAAATAAGTTGCCTATTACATGTCATTAAAAAAAAAAAGTGACCCAGTATCGCAGCCCTATTTTGATACATTTTTTAATTACAAATTCATTTTTAATTCAAAATATAGGCAAATGATAACAAGTAAAAAAATCACTTGTGATAAGTGTGTTAATAATGTTTGGACCCATTCAAAGTTTCCATCAAACATCTTCTAATCAATGATGCCATTAATAATATTTAGTTTGAATACTAATATTTAACAACACCACAAAATAATACATTGCATGTAAGAAGGAAGACAAAATACAATGTAGAGCTGGTTTGATAAGCTTCATTCTAAGCAAAATGTCATTCTGATGTTAATAGCATTCACAAATGAGGCATGTTTGAGGACATTTGACATGCACATGCCATTACTTCCATAGTTTTAATTTGTTCTTGTTTGTTTACTTCCCCACTCTCCGTGCATTTGTTAAGTTAGAGTTCGCATCCGTCATAACTATAACTGCTAACAGGCAACTCACAATAATAAAGATCTTTGTTTAATGTGCGCACGTGGCACATTCCCAAAGATCTTATATATTATCTCTAAGACCTAAAGTTTGTGAAACAGAAGAGCGTTTGACGGCCGTGGGTCCATGTGGTACAGTGTTGAAACTCTCTATGTACAATATTTCCAAAAATGAAATTCATCAAAGACAATAATGATTTAAAGGAAACCTTCGCTATGTACACATCATCAGCTCAATATGTCAGATCTTTGAACATGAACAACCCACATCCCCTGCCAAAATAAGACAAATCTATTTACACACACACATAAACTCTGTTATTTTAAACTGCCTCAAAATTTTTGTAGGTATTTGTTTACATTTTTTAACATCGATTTCCATCAACACAATATTAGTACATGTTACTTCAACAAACTTTATCTCTTTAAATCGTCTGCTTTGTGCTAAAAGGCACTTCCCCACACTGGAATTTCCAAAGCAAATGTAATATTCCATCCACTGTAAACTCTTCACAAATCAAAGATGGCGTACACTTTGGTTTTTTAGTGTTGAAGCGATAACAGAAGAGCCCAACTCAAATTAATTTCACAAATATGAATGGATAATTACATGTTCAAAGACCCCCCCACCCCCCCACCCCACCCAAACCAAATCAAAGATGGCGTACACTTTGGTTTTTTAGTGTTGAAGCGATAACAGAAGAGCCCAACCCAAATTAATTTCACAAATAAGAATGGATAATTACATGTTCAAAGACCCCCCCCCCCCACCACCCCCAGCGTAACCTTTTCTTTCCCTCAAAACTGTCCAAGTATTTATATGATTCAACAAGTAGACATTTTAATGGGATGCCATATCACTGACACTTTGAACGGCTTCAAAGCAATACCACTGACACAATGTACGGCTTCGATGCCATTTCAATGACACCATGAATGGCTTCAGTGCCATATCACCGACACAATGAACGATCACTGGACATTTGTCCTGTGCGCTGAGGAAGGCTCTATGCCCAAACGTTCTAATCTTATTGTCCTGTCCTTAAATTCAAGCTTCCACAAACCTCGTTGGGCTATTTCATTGACACAATGAACCATGTTCACACTTGATGTTATTTTATTTTTTTGTAAACTACCACAGAATTTGTCGACAAAAATCAATCTTTTCTTCCACATGTTCATTTCCAAATAAGATTTTAGCAAGTTCGACAAAGTGTCCGACACTAGCACAGCTAACCACCTGATGAGCGGCTTAAAAGCAATTGAACAAATTGGGCTAATGGCATGCAGTACAACAATAGAATGGTGAGGGCTGATGACAGAGTTCAAACAAACAAAAATAGATTAATTTTAACTGTTACATTGGAAATAAGACAAATTTCTTTGTAGAAGCCATCTTTAACTGGTTTTTTTCCTCCAAAAATTCATTGACCATAATGTATAATAATAAAATATTAACTAAATTTTTTTTATTATAAAAAATGTGTATAATACGTCCATCAAAGAAAGTTATAAATGAGATTTTTATGTACAAATCAGTTATGCATGTTGCGATTGCGTAGTGGTTTCCAACCTTGACATATTTTAGTGTGGTCTATGTGTGTATAATAAAACCTAAAGTCAGGGATGCACGCTCTCTTCCAAATTTCACACAAGTTAGAACGTCCCATAAGCCGTCCCTCCCACAAGCCCCGTGTTCTGTGACTTTGTTCAAAACTACTATCATGTCTTTTGAACAAGGCTTGTTGGCTGGCCCAAGTTCTTGTTTTGGTCGTGTTTTTCAAAGATTTTTTTGTTTGCCAAAACACAATTCCCAAGAGATTCCAATGCAACTGGTCTTTCACATACACGTGTAGCAGCTGTCAGCTTACATTCAAATGAGATAAGCATGTTCGATATTCATCAAATCCAACAAGATCCCGATATCAAATTTTATGAAGATTGAACAATTTTGCTCTTCCTTTATTACAGCCCTGGAGCTGATTTGATTATCAATTAATAATTTAATTGATCCATCAATTAATCCCCACTCACCCCATGCCATTTGTACCTAGAATAGTCTAGTTCAAGTGTCCAGGTCAAACAGTGAATACCTTGTATATCCTCATATACCTCCAACTACTAGCGGTACATTTGTTCATCTCCAGCCAATATTTAACCATTGCTCCTGTAATTCACAATTTTCAACCACTTTTAGTGAATGCTGAATAGCCTCCCTTCAATAGCGTAGCCGTCTTAAAGCTTTTGTTCATGAGGTCTGTCTATCTCACAGACTTGGCAGGGGAGATGAGTCAAAGCTTTTATCTATATTGAGGGAAACGGATCTGATGTTTTACAACCCTGTCAGTTCCCAGTCACCAGGCAATTTAATTTACAATGAACTCATTGTAGACTTGACTTCTCCAATGCTATCTTTGATTCTTCTTTCCATTCCAAGTAATATTCCAAGACAACATAGTGAGGAGGTGATGGTGGCCGATTAAATAATGTTCTGGCAGCAGGAGATAACTCACTGATGCATGCTATATATTCTGTTGTCTCCCTTATCCTGTCCTTGGTCTCGCCGCCCCTGATTATTCCATTGGCCCCCATCAAAATTTTGGGGCCCTCGTAGATCAGCCATCCGCATCTCCATGACCTTTGAAGCACTGTAAATATTCATGAAGCGAGATGCATCCACTTGGTTGTACGAGTTAGGAATAGGCTCTGAAGCCAAAGCCAGTCGCGGCCAGTTGCCACTGGTTGACCATGCATGGTGAAGTGCTTGATCAGGTGTGCCCGGGGGCTTGTAGTGCATTGTCTGCTGCACATCTCCGGCACCTCCGTTGCTGGCACCGGCCGAGTTGACTCCAGATGTCGGCCCGGGTGTGTGGAGTTGCCTGTTCATGCTGGGCATGTACTCTCCGCCGTTGCCCCCTCCCGACTGGTTCATTCCAACCTGCTGCTGTTGCTGGGGCTGCCACTGAAGCGGAGGCCCTCGACCGTCTGGCGTTGGCGTGGGAGTCGGCGTTGGATTAGAGCCCGGCGTCGAACCGTCTTGTTTGATAGACTGCTGTTGCTGCCCTATTCCATGAGGACTGCCCACCTGCAGTGGGTGCCTCACGACCACAGATTCCGACACAAATTGCTGAGGAATGTTTGGGATTGTCTTTCCACCATACCCCCCAATCATGTCTTCATCTTTTTTTATCCCTCCATATCCACCTTCTCTTTCCATATCCATCCTCTCCGTTTTCATCTCCAGACCCAGCTGATTCATCAGTTGCGCCCTCTCCGCCTTCTTCTTGCCGCGGTTCGACCCACCACCTCTATTCTTACTTCCCCTGGGTCGCCCTCTCGTGGGTGTTGTTAAGATCGTGTTGGACTGGCCGTGCAATCCCGGACCATGGCTGGGGCCCGCCGCTCCCGGGGGTAGTGGGAAAGTCATGTTCTTCATCCCCGTCATATCCATGTTGGTGAGCTTCATCCCCTCATGTCCCCCACCATCCTTTGCATTATAGTCGTATGGGAATCTCAGTCGCATTGGAGAAGTTCCTTTTCTTTTCTTGCTTCCCTCCTTAGGTTTGTTTGGGTTGGGAATTTTGCCTTCCTCGTCAGAAGTGAGGTAGTCCTCTGAACTGTCAAAATACATCAAAATCTTTAAAAATTGGACGTTGACTACCATAAAAAAGCTGGTGAAGCAATACAAAGAAAAGATGGACTAGCCCTAACCCCTAACCTTATCTTTCACAGAGAACCACCGACCATTGACAACAGGAGTTTTTAGACATTGAAAGAATCGCTCTCAAGAGTTCACGATAAGAACCGTTGGGAAATGAATTTTGGGTGGATAAAAGAATTTACAATAAAAACACATAATTTTTTTTTTATAAAAGAATTTACAATAAATACACACTCTATTTTTGTTAAGAGTTAAACATTGTTTGTTTTCAATGTATTGTCTTAAAGACAAGTGTATTCAACTTGAAATGCAGTAATAAATACTTTCTATCAAAAATGAGTTTAAATTAGAATTAATGTTGCATTTGATCTTACCAAGCTAGTGATTCCAGACTAGGATAATTTTGGACAGTTCTTAACAGCAAATCAAAATAATTACCTATGGGATTCGTCCTTGCTGGCCACACTAATAGGCGATGCTGAAATCCCATCCGCCCTCAACGTGCCGTCAGCCCTGATGGACAGGTTCATGTTGTTGACTGGAGAGAAAGTGGCGGCAGTCAGGTCCGGGGTGGTCAGCACTGAAATGGGGAGTGGAGCACATAATACATTCATGTCTATATAGGTCAACTCAGTTACTCAGAAGGGACACATGTTTAGACATAGTGTGGGTGAGGGACCCATGATGTCATCCCCCTCCATGGATTTTATGTTAAAATTGAAGGGCAGCACTGTAATGCTCTAAACCATCTGCTGTAAAGCAGCTTTCAACCTAAACCATCTGCTGTAAAGCAGCTTTCAACCTAAACCATCTGCTGTAAAGCAGCTTTCAACCTAAACCATCTGCTGTAAAGCAGCTTTCAACCTAAACCATCTGCTGTAAAGCAGCTTTCAACTGGTCTTTGATTACAATGTAAAAATAACATTCATGGAATTAAAATGTAAAACTCTTATCAAATTTTTTTGAAAAAACCTCTAGCCAGGGGGGCCGCCACTCACTGAAAACTGTGAACCCTGAAATCCCTTTCTAAAAAGTTCTTGAAACCTGAAACAAATTTTCCAATCCCTGAAACTTAATGAAACTCAAGATTCCAAATTATCGCAATGCGGCGTTTTTGTTGATTAATATAAAAAACAAACATGAAATTATCAAATAAAACATTGAGATACATCACAAATGAACAAAATCAAACAATTAAGGTGTATACATGTAAACATTTATTAAATTTCCTAGCAAGTGCAATTTTTCAATTTACTTAAACTTGAAAAGTCAACTTTTGCAATGTGTTGTCTGGGCATTTTAGAACAAACGTATAGCTACCACAAGTGGAAGCATCTTTTCTTATATGGAGTTCATGTTCTCTTCTTTATGATGAAAATGGATAGTTTGAGCCAACACACTTTAGTGTCTATGAAATCCCCTAAATGTGAGATTTTCATATTTTGACACACAAATTGAGAAGTTGCAGAAGTGGACACCTAAGATAGGTGATAAAGCTGGTCTCATCAGGACATTTTAAACATTTTCCCCTTGAATACTTGATATCAGTATTTCCAGCATAGTATAGCAGTGATGACTTGTTCAATCATGATTGCTGTAGTGACCATCAGTTCTTTAAAGGAACTGTTGGACATTATTTTATTGAGCCTAGATCCTGAATAGTGAAACAAAAAATAAAATATATTATCATATTAGATTTATAATTTATAGTAAGGCATACATAATAATATAGACTATATTATACCAGTACTAAACTACGGCACTATGGTAATACAGAGCATTATGAATAGTAGTAATAGTAGAATTACCCGTTCCGTAAAGTATACCCAGAGTCAGAACACAGGAGTGCATAACTAATAAATAAAGACTAACTAAATACAGTTATGTTAGGCTCACTACTGAATGGATAAAAATAACTTAATCATATTAGCCTCTTTAAAATTAGAAGGCTTACTCCATAATTAAATGTAAAGTGAACTTAAGAAGTCTTTAAAAAAGTTAAACGCTGTCTAGCTCTTCTACTTCTAATTGTCAAAAAATACATGTCGCCTGCATACAGTAAAACTTACAAAGGTTACGGTAAATTTTGAGTATGCTAAGCTTAGTCTTGTTAGAGAGCGCTTGGACGAGTAGTTTTCCATTTATTATAATGGTTACCCAACAATTAAAAACTAAATTAAAAAATATTTACTACATTTTACACTTTGCTTACCCAAACACTTCAAATATCTCTTGATCGGCGATGTGCACAGAAAAGAAATATTTCTGGTCTATCGAAGTAGTACGGTACTCGAAACGTGTAGTGCTCAAAACGCATGCACAGGGGATACCACTAGCACCCTGGCAATAGAAAGGCTAAAAATAGACGAGATCTGCGATTAACGTCCATTTTCAAAGAATTTCCCCAGTTTTTAGCGTACCCGCGCTCGCTAAATTTTAATAGGCTTTCACGCATTCTGTTACACATTGATATTTTTTTTCAAAAACCCAGACCGATTCCGTATTTGAATAAATTTACCTGGCAAATCCGGAGCGAGAGAATATAAAAACTCGCAAATCCGGAGCTGAAAAATTATTTAGCCTCACGAATCCGGAATTCCGGGATAAGCCGGAAAAGTGGCACCCATGTCTACAACTATTTTTTTTAAATTTGGACAATTTTAGGTTTCCAATTCTACATTCAACGCATGCAATATTTATGCTTTCTCATAAAAATAATCAAAGTTTGTTTAATCAACAATCTTCATAACATTACGACCCAACTTCACTTTTTATATATGTATGTGGCGCAATCATCCTTATCAAAGCCATTACTCGTCGGCTCCGCTGATGGGGACATGATGAAAATACTTGCAATTGATTTCTAGTTCCAGATATTACATTACATTCACTGATAGAATTCAGCTGCCCTTTTGACTTGCCTCGTGCAAGTGTCAGAAAGTAACGCCTTGTGCAACATCCTATCAATAACACACACGCACAAACCAGTATTCAGTCATCACCAAATTAATTCCGACAAGTCATCATCACCAAATGGACAGGTTGACATTAATACACCCACAAGAAGTCATTAAATTAAACAAGAAGAAAATCTGGACAGTTTGATCATGATTTCGTCTTGTTAGTTCCAACTGGGTGTTACAAGTCTGCTTGGATTCTTCTCATGCACAACATTTAAAAACTGACTGGCTTAATAACTGCACGCCTGGACAACAGGTGGACCGTTAACGATTAAATCCAAACGAAACACCAACATCTACCCATTTGCCCAATGGAAGTGCTATCAGGAGATCATGAATGCATAGCAATGTAGATAAATTTTATCTCCAAGACGGAATGTCGTTTGATAATCTTTAGAGGTGTGATGAGAAAAATCCTAGAGAGGTTTGAGTGGCCTAGATATGTTCTCCTTTTTTGTGTGTGGACCCAGCCAAGCATATCATGATCATACTGGATGGCTAGTGACAAAAGACAAACAACTAAAGACTGCGAAACAAACAATCCATGGAGGTAACAAAGTGATTGGATAATGGGTGTCGATTGGTGCACAAATCCTCACCCTCACCATGTCGTTTCATGTGCTTGTCTCGGTGATGAGCACGGAAGAACATCTTCTCACAGAACGGACACTTGAAGGTGCGGTGGTACTCGCCTGTGTGTGTCTTGTAATGGCGGTCCAGATGCTGCTTGCGGGTGAACGCCTTGCCGCACTCTGTACAGGCGTAGGGCTTCTCTCCTGTGTGGGTCATCTCGTGACGTCGCAAATGGTGGCTGATAGGGAGAAATAAGGAGGCAAAAATTTTTTTTAATAAATAACAAGACTTTCGTCAACATTTCGTTTGAAAGATACTCCACAACATGTATGTCTACTGCAACATTTAAAGCAAAACACTAAAACAGATTTATCCACTAAAACTTGACACATTCAATACCACAAAGTTGAAGACGTGTTTTGAGAACCAATTATAATGTAACATAAAGTTAAATCGTATGCTTTACCAATATAAATAGCTACATATTGGTGTCATGCTCCACTTTAACATACACCAAAAAAATATTTAAATTTCCATTTTAGATGCTTGCTTTTTTTACTTGGTCCAGAATTCATTTCTTTTTCCAATTTTAAAAGCTAAACTATTTATTTGATCATAGCTCTTAATATAAATACATCCTCTGGTTCTGCATTAGAAATGACATAATTTTGACAATTCTATTTTGAAATACTTCTGCTCCATGAGTTTGAATAAACCCTCACTGAAAAAACAAACCTTGCTACATATGTGTCATTTTAAAGATGCAATGACCGCTGTAGGCTACAAGGTAGGAAACATGTAAACAATAACCAAGAGAAGAGAACAATATACGAGAAGACAATGAGAAATAAAGAAACTTTGAAACGAACAATCCAAGGTTTGTGCTTGCAGGGTTACATGCAACCATTCTTTCAGAGCACTGCATTACTAGTTTTGGTCTCATTGAGATGTACTATCCTTTAACAAATTAAAATTCCCATTTTCAATCAAATTTGAATTTACTTTGATAGATGTTAATTAGAATTTAATTTATGGTCCTTTTCTTTCTTTCTTTTAAAGAGAGCTAGTGCATTCTGCAAGACACAAACCTTTTTTCTTTAAAATAATTTTTACGACATTTTTAAAGACAGGGCATTTTTTAATGGATAAACATAGCTCAATGAAACCCTTTTGAAACTAACATTTTGAAATAGTCTTTTGAGACTCCAGTTATTTTTATTCTAAAAAGTATATCAAAAGTGAAGAGCAAACCAGTTCAGTTTTTTTTTCCAATGAATTTTGAGATCCCATGGAAATGGGTTGTTCGTGTGTATTTGGTGCTACTTATGATCTAGAGTACACTACGAACATGCAACCCTGCATGAAAGACAAACCTCAGGTTGAACGCCTTCCCACAGATGCCACAAGTGTAGGGTTTGGTGCCCGTGTGCGTCAGCTCATGACAGCGGAGATGATGGCTGAAAGAATGAGCAGAAGGTGTGGATGAGCCAAGCAGTGGGGGGGAGGTGCGGCACACATGCATGGTGGGTTTGTGAACAAATAGGAATAAAACCAAGTGTGCAGGTCACAAAAGCCAAGGACGATAAAGAGTGAAATTGCATTCGCTGACGTAATTTGATCAATTTTATATCAAGTTAAGCAGATGACAACTTTTTTTCAATTCAGCCACAAAAATATGACCCAAAATCATGTGCCTTATCTCAGATGAACAACATGTGCCCCTACAGAAGAGGCCTTGTTTGCCTCTACTTTCATTTAATAGGCCACTAACAATAAATAATGACCAGTCATCTGTTTTGATTATAAATAATGACCAGTCATCTGTTTTGATTTTTAATAAATTATCAATTTTTATTACACCTTACACAAGTTGTTTTTTTTTTTATTATTTCCTTTTTATTTAATTTTTTTGTGGGCAACAAAGTCTTTTTCTTCTTTCTTCAAGTTTTGCTCCTAGCACTAAAAATGGGAATATGTCTCGGCTCACCAGAATAATTAACATCATCGTGAGGTAAGTTTATGAGGGGGAAAAAACAAATAAAAGCTCTTAGGTACTTCAAAAAAAAATTGCATTAACTTTACAAATGAGAAAAGCGTGTTAATAGTTCTTGTCCGGAAAGAACTGACCTGCGTCTGAAACTGTGACCACAGATGACACATTTGTACGGCCTCTCTCCAGTGTGGATCCTGACATGTCTGCGCAAGTACTCCTTCTTGGCAAACATCCTCCCGCAAAAGTCACAACTGCACGGATAGTTAGGTCCATGGTGACTGTTGGGATTAGCATGGCTAACGGTAGAACCAGGACTATGTGAAATGAGACGAGCGCCCGGCATGAGCCCACTTCTTGCCAGCCTTTCTTCAGCTTTCACCTATAGGGAGAATACATTTTTACTTACTCAGCTGCCGTTCATGAACCTTGATGGCATTTTGGGAAAATGATGGCCCTAGCCAAAAGCAGAGACATTTTAAAAAAACGGTTGGAAATGTTGAGAATGCTTGTATTCAGCACTACAGAGAACCGAGTCCTACGTCTTCTGGCTTGGGAATATTAGTCAACATCACTGACTGCTCGTAAACATTCCAATAACAAATATTGTATCGTAATGACTCCAACTGAGATGGCCCAATTGCAGATTTCCTCTATCCATAAAAAAAAATTGTAATTGAATTATTCATCTCATTTAATGTATATGGTCTCTGAGCAAGCCATTTACTAACATTATTTAAAAACAGTCAGTGATGACCTGAGCTCACAAAGAAATGGAAAACTTAATGAAAATAATGTTGCAATATGATGCCATCTGTATTTAAATAAGTTTCTTTAACTTCAACTCAGGGGAGTTAGAGCTTACCCATTAAAGGATGTAAAATAAAATAAAAGCTCTTTTTTTCTTTAACTTCGCTATTCTCCCCAGTGAGAACACTGCATTTGGCTTAAAATCTAATTTGCAAACTACAATCTAGTTATTTGCTCTAACCTTTATTTGTTTTGAAAATTAGGATCAATGGTGACTCATGATAAATAGTTCTAAAGCCAAATTTTGTGAAAACATACAAATGCAGACTCCAACGCCAAGGGGAATCTTAGCACTGCCCCCTGTACATTTACAGTTAGCGTGTCTTAGATATTTTCCAAACTTAGTTTAAATCTTATGCAGTGTTTTCACAGTCAAATTAAATCTCATAAATGACTAGATTAGAATAGATATCCACTGTTAGTAAAAATCACCCACTCTTAATCTGAGAGGAATTGAAATAAAACAATATGGCGGGTGGGTCAGCTGACAGAAAGTTGGACATTACAGCCAATACAGGTGCCACAAAAGAACAATGCAAACTAGTTTGTTAAATGTCCCCCAAATGGTATACCTGTATGACTGTTGACAGATCTGTTTGTGACGACTGATCCTTGACAGTGACTCGGGTTCTACATCCACCACAGCAGCTGGCTGAATGGCCCCCTGAACCACCACCACCACCACTGTTCATGCTGTTCATCATACCAACATTGCTGCCGCTTGCATTGATATGAACACTGTTGTGGAGCATGGCCCCTTGCTGCTGCTGTGAGACATTCATGTTGTTGGAGTTCCCAATGTTAGAAGTTTGTACTCCAACAACATTTACATTTGATGCTGCTTGCATTGCCAACCCTCCTGCCACTGCCATGCTGAGCCCACTGCCATCTACAATACTTACACCAGTTCCCCCGGCCTGGAGATTCATGCCGACTCCTGGAACGAGGTTCAGTGCTGCGTTACCAGGAAATGTAACTAAACTGTTCCCGGCGGCCACCAGACCAGCTGCGTTGGTACCAGCCACAGAGCTCATGCCCATCCTGGCGCTCAGTGTTGCCAGAGCATTGCTGGTAAAAGTCAAGCTGTTGGGATCCGCGTTTCCTCCTGATAATCCCATGGCCACGGCCAGGCTTCCAATGGACATGGCTGTGCCCGGAATCTGAATATGTTGAGGTTGTGCTTGTAAACTGTTTTGCTGTTGTGATCCGCCGTCACCCGCGCTGCACGGTACCGATATTGTTCCTGTAACAGTTCCTGAATTAATGGCTGAGTTAACTGAAGGATCTATACCAGATGTTACGGGTAGTGCCATCCCAACCGAGCCCATATTGATTGTATTCATGTTTCCATCTCCACTTGTTTCATGTGTCGGTGTGCCTGTCTCCATCACTCGCTTCCTTCAACAATATTAAGTTAAGGTTTGCACCATTTATCCTTTTATTTTCTGAAATTAAATGTACATAAATTATAAATAACTTCATAAATTAAATATGACAATGATCTCCTTAAATAGCTTTGTATCATAGAAATAAAAAATGACAGTTGAGCAGACTTATAATAAATGTATGTAGTAGCTTTATTTATTAAATAATACTTTTTATTTAAATTATTTATTAACACTTTTAATTTTTTATGAAAGAATTTTTTTTCTATATGTTATTTGTATGTACATGATTTATTTATAAGTTTCCAGAGCAACATTGTATTTAGAAGAATTTGTGTAGGAACAGCATGCTCCTTTGATTAACAGTAAGTGATCAGTAGCAAAAATGTTAAACATTAAAGATTATAGCATTTAAAATAGAAAAAAAAAATGGTTTTCCTGCTCAAAATATCAAACATGTTGATACATCTGCAATCAAATATCGCAAAGTTTATCATTTAACCATATAATGACATCAAATGGTGAATATGAATCTTTCATTTGTCAGCAGAGCATAAGAATACAAAAATAGACACTAATATTTTGTATTGCCTAAAGCCATGTGCTGCCAAAAAAATGGTAACATGGAAATTAGTGGGATCAATAGAATTTTGTCATGACAGACTGGACCATTAGGGAAATTATTGGTTCTTAAAAATCCTATTATGAACTGATTAACTTGTTTTATTGGCTCTTATAATAGGCACTCCAATACTCGGTGTGCAGGATGAATCTCTGTTGGCTCTTATAATTGGTACTCCAATACTGACTGTGCACGATGAATCTCTGTTGGCTCTTATAATAGGTACTCCAATACTGACTGTGCACGATGAATCTCTGTTGGCTCTTATAATAGGTACTCCAATTTCTGGAACAAACCAGCAATCTCTGCCTTCACTATTCTTGGGGAAATGCATTGTTTTATATCATTTCTACAATAGATGAAATTTTTACTTTCTCCAATGTACACCTATTACAAGAATTATAGAAATATATCCGTTAGGGTCCATCCATAAATGACAATGAGCAAGTTTTGTCGATCTTTTACCCCCTCTTCCCCCATGATTACAAACAGACCCAAATATTATGTCTTATACCCCTGCCCCCCACCTTCCACCACAAAAAACTAAAAAAAGTAATGTTTCGTTTCAGTTATGTTTCAATCACTTTCATTGTAGTAAGTAAAACTAATTACTGGGTGTTCTCAGGTTGTACTCTTTATGTAGCTGCTTCCTATCTAAAATCCACACGCCCGTGATAATGTAGCTCAGAAGAGAAATTCACCTGTCCACTACTGTCTTGAACTTTTGTTTACAAACTTTTAAAAATTCCGATCCCATGGATAGGCATTTGCTGCCTATCTAAGTACAAAATGTGTGCATGTGACATTTCCTCTTTGAACAGAGGTTTCCAAACTGAGCATTATGGTGCCCTGCGGAGCTGTGACTTCTTCACAGGCTTGCCGCTACGTAAAATAATTTTTTTAATTTGCAATTTCGCAATACGGTTGTTAGAATTTGACATAGGCCACCTTAAATATCTTCAAATAAAGATTTCTTGATCTCACTCTTATAGATTCAAAAATATAGAAACATTTAAAAACTGTTTAAATTTTGTGTGTAGGCCAGTTACAAAAGAATTTAATTAAAAATGCTCCTACTCATTTCATTAAAAAATTTAAAACGCTGAGATTATTGAAGCTTTGTCCTTAGCTAGAAGTGAAGTTAAAAAATATATCATATACATATTGCTGAAAAGTATTTTTTTTAAATGGTTTTAAAAAATAGTATTGAAATCTCATTCACTTTAAGAACTTAATGTAAAAAATATGTTACGTTTACAAAACTCTAATTAGACATAACAAATTTAGTTGTTAACAATCATGGGTTGCATTTTAATTTTACAAAGTGCCAAAATCAAAAGAATTTTTATTTTTTAGCGATTTCTATTCAATAATTTTTTTTTATTTTTAAAGGGGAGAGGGGGAGGGGGAGAGGGGGAGGGGGATGTTGCAAAAGTGTTAAGATTTAAAAAATATATGGTATAGAACTGAACATGCAATGCCAATTAGCAGGAGGTGTCAAAAAGATTTTTGCTCCATCAGTGTCAGTTACATGCCATTATTTATAAGGCCAATAATCAATAAGTTGTAGGTACTTTGGTACAAATTTTAAAAATAAACCAATGGCTTAGTTGAATAGAGCTAATGTTTTACTACAGAATTATAACACCAAAATAATATTTTTAGCTGTTGTAGTTTTGAAGTTATGAATTTTTAAAGTAAGACTTCGTTTGTCCTTTTTTAACATGAGCCTCATCTCCACATGCTGTGTCCCAATTCTGCCGTTTGCGTCACGAGCTATATCATTCTTGGTTTAATGATAATTTTATGCGCGTTTTACTTTCAGAAGTAATGCTGTATTAAAAAATAATTTTAATAATGTTATACAATTATAGATAAATTGAAGCTTATCTAACTATGCAATATGTGTATCAGTAAATTTAATACAATTTAATAATATATGGCTTTTCCTTTTACCAAATCTACGGCCTCCAGTATACCGGTATATGCTATATAGTCTATATAAGGCAACGCCTGCCCTAATTACTAAAATACTGTTTGGGAACTACTTATTTTGAACTTTAAACTTTGGCACATGACTAATGCTTTCCCTGACCTGGTTTATTAGTTTTGACACAGTAACTTTTATGAATGAAACTCTGAGATAGTACTTCGGTATAGCCATTATGTAAGTGTTTGGGAATGGCTGCCCATGGCCATTTTGCACACTGCAAATTCCAATCATTTTTAATATGGACTCTACCTGGTTTTCTAACCTCAAATTAAAATATTATTCTTTCAATAACATTTAAGTTCATTCTAAAACATGATTTATCCAATATTTTGATGTAATAATTAAATATTTCCAAAGAATCTGCATCTTCCTCCATTAAAAAAGGGGCGTGGCACATGACATGTCGAAAATAGACTGAGCGACCTTATGGTAATGCAGGTTACTTGGACAAGCTATAGCGAAGGTTGGACACGACCTACATCAATGAGAATTGGCACACATTTAATTTGTAATGTCGTAATGTTTTTCAGAATTTAATATGAAAGAATCTTTTTTTAAATTTTTGAGGGAAAGATGCCTTTTATTGACATAGGGTTTTCCTTACTTAAAGTTGATATAAAGAACAAAAAACTCAATGGGAATGGGGGTCAACATTTCTCCTAATGCCTATTGTGAATGGGCGGAATCACACCTTAATTATGTGCCAAAAGGACTCCTGCATCATTAAAATTACACTCACATAAAAAAAATTTTAAACTCTGATGCCATTGCGTCGACGCCCATTTTCGATACAAATTTTCTAGGAGTGCTTTACTGAAGTACCTACAATAAGGTGTTGACCCCTATTGAGCTATTCCCTATTAAAATTAATCCAATACTATTTTTAAGAAGAGTAATCATTAGATGTATTAGATATATTGGGTCTACTGTTTATTATATCAATAAATTATATCATAAACATAATATTACTATACACAGAGTCTGGTACAATTTTTAACCACAAAAAAAAATAGGCCTAGGCAGTGGACATACAGTCACAGTATATTACTTAAAGTTAAAGTGTTGCTGATATGGTAGTAACTTTAGTAAGTAGGACTACTAATTCATTTTTTTAGAGTACTACGTCTAGTTAGCATTATTAGTAAGTTAGGTAGTTTAGTAATAGTTACCATAAGTGAGTACTATACTTATACCTTCTTATTATAACTTATTTAAAATTTAAAGTTATTATTGATAGTTTAGTAATTAGTAGAACCTTATTTTATCACAGCTTGAGCCATTTTTTATATTTTCAAGAAAGATTTAAATATTGATTTATGTAGATTCAGCACTTTCTGAAAAAAACAAAATAATCTTTAACTAGCCTTTGATAAAACGTTTCAAATCGAGACCCGATTAAAATTGTGAACAAAGTTTGTGTTGGTAGTGTATGGGCATAACATTCAAATTTATTTTTTCTCATTTAAATTGACCAGCATTTTTTTCAAATTAAAAATCCTACATTTAGGCAAAACCTATTGCACTACAGACTTACAATAGAAAATGGAGGGAAATTAGACGTGCAAACAAAATGGATCCGTCCATATGCTCCATTTTCTTGATCGACAATGTCTAAGGCGTCATATCCAGGGATAGCATAAATTACCATTGCCGATAAGCGGGGCGTCCGCCATTTTCCTTAATGTCAGAACTACTTTTTAGATGCCGGAAGTGTAGCCAACACACTAAATTGCCGAAAAAAACATATGAGCAGTTCAAACACTATATTTTTATAATCTATGCTTTTTATTAATTTGAAACGTTATAACTTAGTATATTGTATATATGATCTTCATTCAAAAATATAACATTTAAATAAATTTAAAACAATTATTATGATAATTCTCATCTTTTTTTTTTTAAATTGTGGAATGACCCTCTCCAATTAAGTCCAAAATAAATATATCCACGAATATCCGTTTAATACCGTACACCAGCTAAAATATTGAGACTATTTAGTGGGGGCACACAGCTTTCCCCTTTGTTTTTGAATTTATTTGCAAAGACTGTCATTTATTTTATTTTTATATTTTAAATTATAAATAGTTTCTTCTCTATTTAATTTTTTTTTTATTAAACATAATGGTATGTAGATAGATAGAGATCATCAATCAATATAATTCTCTAGGTATGAAAATATAATACAAAGTAGGTTGTAATGATTAGTTTAATAGCGCGAAAAATAACTTTCCCGGCAAATGCTGTAAATGACATTCTTAAAAATACCGCAAGTGCGTAGTGTTTACTATTGTTGTATTCAAATAGTCTCGGTTTAGATATAGGATGTAAATGCAATAATTGTACGGTGTGAAAGAGGGATGGAGCATTAGAATATTATATATATAAATATTATAATAATATAATATATATAAAATATTCTAATAATATATATTATAGTTCAGGGACATTAAAAAAAGGTGTTCGGATGCGTAACTAGGGGGGGGGGGGGCGCACTAGTCGACACTGAGATTCTTATGAAGTAATTTACTTGAATACATGTTTTGTCAATGAATTTTAGTATATGGTAAAATTGCGCGTTGCCACCGCCGCTTTTCAGAGGGCTAAACTAGTGTGTTTGTGTGTGTATTCTAACTATATGCCTAGTTATTTCTATTTATTTCATTTTTCACAATACAGGTAATTTAGTGAGCCCTTTTAATAAATCACGTATTTCAGTTAATTTGTGGTTCACTGGTTCAACCAAGTCCTCGAGTATATCAAGTATTGATAAACAAAGTTTTGTGTCTTCTTTCTTCAGGGTTTACCGTACCCTGTTTCTTGCTCTTACTGCTTCATCCTGAACACAGTCCTCTCTATATCATAAGTGTAGTATGAAGACGGACCATCCACATATTCTTGACAAAATGATAAGAAAAAATAATTAACTTAATTCACAGACATCATTTTAAAACCTTTCATTTATTACTTACAGTACACTTCAGTACAGAAAAAGACGGTTAAAAAAATACAACTACAAATTATTCTCATGACATACATATTTATAAATTTTTCTTTTAAAAATCAGTTCAGTAAAGTCATCATTTTGTTGTATTATTTATTTGATCATTTTCATTAGATAGAAAAATACATAATTTAAAAAAAAAAAAATTAAAACAAAAAAGAGAAGCCATTTCACTTGCTATGTGGATTTAAGGGCATGTTGTTATGGATCTAAGATTTGATATTCACAAATCATGGCTCCGCAAGGAACACTGTGGATGTTGTGGAGAACAAAAGACTTCGTGTTTTGTAACTGGATAAATTAGAACTAGATAAAACAAACACAAAGATCTGACCAGGAAAATTAACAATGTATCAACATTTATTTCGAGCAGACTAGCAGCGTATCGTAAAATAAATAATTTGCTACTTTTATAGGTCAATGGTACGACGTACATGATGTGGAAATTGTATACCATTTTAAAGAAAAAAAGATTTTATTATTCCTATAGTAGTATGTTCATAATCAAAAATCATTTTTTTTTTACAATTGAACATATTGTATATAAAGGATTGTTTAAGTTTAACATCAACAGATTCTGTTTATGAAAAATGATCATTAAAATGTTGTACTCAATATATCCTAGGAAAAAGGAAAATTTAGGCTAGGAGATTTGTTACATAACATTTTTTTTAAATAGTGGAGTTGCCATGAAAGTTCCAACACATGACATCCATTATTGGCATGAGTCGCAGTTTCTAATTTCTAATTTTTTTTTTTTTTATTCGAGTGCAGATATGTTTATGTAAATATTTTCACAACTTATTGATACATATTGATTAAATCAGAGCTACCCCAACCAAATCAGTAGTATAAAAATTCTTCACAGTATGTCCTGAAAAAAATGTCAATATATATTAAGGTATCGTGAGTATGAAATAAAGGCACCATGCATGTTATGGAAGGGCATAATTGTTAGGCTAAGGTCTTACCTCTTATTTTTTTTGAAGGACCATTAGGAAAGCAAGCAAGCTTGCGCGGCTGTTGAGTTGTTTATTTTTAACCCAACTCACTAACACTGTGAAGTAACTACATTGCTGTCGTAGACCGCACATTTTAAAACAAGAAGCTCGCACCAAATGAAGTGGTCAAAGGTCGTAAATATTACATCTGTAAAACTGATTCACCTCTATGTCGGACCAAGCTCAGTTGATCAGACCTCAACAATGACAAAAAATAAAAAATTTTATCAACATCAAAAGGGATTAAAAAATATAAACTTCTCACTTCATCATTTCAGGATTCATCATTTTCACATTGTAAAATTAAATTACAAAATTGCCAATTATTGTGAATTGAAGTTCCAAATTTAATTATTAAATTTGACAAGACGCATCAAAAATAGTTAGGAAAAGAAATGGAGATCAATGGGAATCAAATTTAGTTGGTTGGTAATTTAAGGGAATGCAAAGAACAGATCCAACTGAACAGAATTTCATCAATGCAACTGAAGAAAGAGGACTTTATCAAAAAACAAACAGACAAACAAAAGACACAGCATAATTAATAAGCACACCAAAGTTTCAAGACAAAATGTGGATACAGGTTTTCACTAGGTGGTGTAAGTCACAGCCTTGTCGAACATGGTCGTTGGGTTGTTTTAAGTTCAGTTAATGTATGTGTGTAAAACTATATTGCAGGCGCCAAGCATGTCATCGGTGTCGAGCGTGTCATCAATGTCAGTGCTCAATAAAACTATGAGTTAAAGTTAAACACTACTTAGGGAGCTACCAAAATGTCCATGTCATTTTGTACCAAGCTCAGATGTCAAACTGGGGTAAGATGCATAAGAGATGAATGACACTGCAGAGTGTCTACAGTAAAACATGTGACCTGTTGTAACAATGTTCTGAAAGAGAATAACAATGGTGTTGTCATTGGGGCATGACATAATGTGATTTTGTTTTATTGTGGAGTTCTTTTGAAACTTGATTTCTGAACAGTTATAAACCAAATTTAGGGTGAGCAAAATGATTCCTTTTGTTATATTGTATTTCAGCTAACGACATTAGGAGAAAAAAAAAGGTCAAATATTTTCTTACATTACCGTAGTTAAATAGAATATTAATTTTACAGCATGTTAAATTATTTCGATATAAGCAGACATATTTTTTTTAAATGCTCTTTTAACAGAGAATATCAGGCCACCATAAAAATCAATTATTTTAAGCAGAAAAAAAATTAACATGAAAATATTTCTTCACTTTCATTTCAAATTTGAAGAAAAAACTTTAAATAAAATATTTATTAAAATGTTAAATTGTCATTTATTTAATGATCATCTCCCAAAAGTCAATAGACATTAAATTTATATATACCTAAAGCAAAAAGCAGAATGCCTGTTGTAATGAAATGTTTTCTATGACAAAGCAAGATTTTTATTCAGGCTACAGAAAAAAAAGAAGAAAAAATAAAATCCAAAAATTTTAATAAGTTTAACAAGCCAGCAAAGCACATTTGTTTTTGTTTTTTTTAATTTTTTTTTTTTTTAAGTTTCAGCAATAAAATAACATGAAATATAGTTATGGGACAATTGGATATCTTTATTTGATTAAAATAAAGCATCAACAAAAAAAATGATATGGACTTGTGTTATTTAAAAAGAACTCAGCTGATATAACATCAAATTAGATTTTTACTTAGTTGATCGAACAATCAGCTAAAAAAAAAAAAAGGACTTTTTCTGTTATGGCGGTGGTGATTTTTTGTTTGTAGTTGTAGTACATAATTTAATGGAGATTTTTTGTTTAAAAAGGCATTTTAAGTGTTTCTGACAAACAAATAGTAGCCTGAGGAACCATTAAAAAAAATGCAAGGTAGAGGATGGCCAAAATCAAAATGAAATAATCAGGAATATTGATAGAAAAAGTGATGGGAGGAATAGTAGGGAAGTCTAAATGTATTTTGCATCCTGGATAACAATAACATTTTAAAGCTCAATGTACAAGCTCAGATGGAAACATTTTGAATTGGATCTTGGCACTTAAAAGTTCTTAAGTATCTCAAATAAAAATGTACTTTCTTCAAAGTTCTTTGCCCCAACAAGTACCCTGATTTCAGATTAAAATGTACTGAACTTTTAACCCGATCGATACTGGCTTTTGATAAAATCAGTTACAATAAATGATCCAAAACAAATCGTCATGATGACAATACACTCAAAATACTGTCTCATGGGTAAAAAGTTATGACATCATACGAAGCTAATCATGCATAAAAATGTGCATGGCCAATCCATTGGTATGTTTGCAAGAGTTTTTTTTTTTAATTTTATCATTAATAAATAATCTCAACAAATAAATAAAACAAACTTGTAAGTAAGTTGTGATTTCTTAGACACAGAACCATTTTAAGCTTCTGGGGAGGAGGATTTGCTGGATTTTGGGGGGAAAGTTCAACTAAATTTAAAAAAACTATCACAACCCACTGGTGTACAAAGTAGTTGTTATAACTTGTGCCTTTCATGACAGGGACACACAAAAATTACTAATGACTTTTGAATAGTTTAAAAGCCAAATGCCTTTTTCTCAGGAGCCAAAAAAAATATATTTTTAAGAAAATGAATTTCACGTTCTTAATTTATTTATCATCATTTTTTTAATGTAATAATTAGAAATTAAGTTTTTTGATTTGTTTTGTCCATT